TCATGCTGCACCCAGTTATTGCAAGGGGTTTTCTTTGTCAAGGACTCCATTCCTTTTGCGCTGTAGTTTCCCAATGTATCGGCTATGAGGGTCGTGCGGGATTATTCGATCGCATGTCTCATGTGATGTGGTGCTTTGTTAACAGGGTTACCTCAGAGTCGGATAGATGACCTGAGTGCGCGATGGCTAATGAGGGACGTGGTCAGGGCCGACGCCATACTGCGGCGTCATGATATAGACATTGATGAGTGACAATAAATAAACAAGCACAGCACCAGCGCAGCGTAGTAACAGTGGAAGGCACGCATACGACCGACTAAGATATGTGCACGAGTGAATGATGTCAAGCATATAGGTGTGTGCAGACACGTACATGTCTGGAGAAGAGGGATACAGAGGTAGATTAGAAGGGTACGTGTATGAGTCAGACTATCAAGCGTCGCTTTTATGGTTAATGTTTTTAGGGTTTAGGGTTTTGGTTTTTAGGGTTTATACGCGGGACACACCGGTAGGTTAGAAGGGTACGTATATGAGTCAGACTACCAAGCACCGGAGAAGCATTGTAGTTACACGGATTACAGAATGTGAGGGACATCACGGACAGACCTTATCCATATGGAGGAAGCAGTGGACCTAGTGAGTCTTCTCTTAATCGTTCACGAACTTTCATGTACAGGATATAATTATATGTTGTAGAGACCGTGTATGGCACAATACACAAACTGGTGCGCAGATCAATCGAAGGTTGCTGTGTACTGTGCCGTGTAGGTTCATAGTAAGTTGGGCTTGTTGTTGGTAAGGGTTTGGTCAGGGTATCTGTGTTGACACAGATCAATCGAAGGTTGCTGTGTACTGTGCCGTGTAGATTCATAGTAAGTTGGGACCTGTAGGTTCATAGTAAGTTGGGCCGTGTTGATGGTAAGGGTCTGGTCAGGGTATCTGTGATGACACAGATCAATCGAAGGTTGCTGTGTACTGTGCTGTGTAGGTTCATAGTAAGTTGGGCTTGTTGTTGGGAAGGGTTTGGTCAGGGTATCTGTGTTGACACAGATCAATTGAAGGTTGCAGTGTACTGTGCCGTGTAGGTTCATAGTAAGTTGGGCCGGTAAGGGTTTGGTCAGGGTATCTGTGTTGAGTGGGGGATGGATGATGCGTTGAAGGAGAGTTCACACTCGTGCCGAACTGTAAAAGATGCAAACAGCTATGAAACCGCACATGCGCAGCGTCTAGAGTAATAGAAAGTGGGATATAATAGGACACAAACGTGCATACACGCAGTCAGGAGTGGGTGTTTATTGCTGATAAGAGCAATAACGAATACATCCCTGCAGCATGCTTGCCTCAGCGCCCAAGGTCGGGTGTCTCTTGAGCCATTCACTATACTATGTCTCTCGCTACCACGCCAACGCCTGGATGAGTCAGGGCCCACCCTATACAAAAATCGGTGCTCACTTCCGTCCGCTTGTGCATGGAGCTCAGTACCTCGTATCTACCGATCTATGGCGTTTGATATGTAGCATAAAGCATATACCCTCTTTTACCCAGCCAGCCCGGAGTGCTGAGCCGGACAGACCTTCACGCACAATGCACACTCTATCAACAGGTTTGCCCATCCAACATCACCTACACCCGTCCTTGCGCAGCAGTGACTGGACGGTGATATACGAGTGCGACAAACGTTAAACGTTTTAATCAACGGAGCCTACCACCGCTTCTGTCCATTCTACACGTATCTGCGGGCCTGTTGCGGTGGCGCCAGGGCATAAACCCACACTATGTATATGAAGTGCCTGGAAGGACTAGGTACCATACATCCTGATATGCTCGAGATGTCTGGCTTGTGTAAGGTATTTCAACACACATTTCAGGGCGTACTAAAACCAGCTCAGCTTGTTTTAACTCTGGTGATGAAGAATGCTCGAGAGGTCCGGAGAAAAACTATGTTGGCCACGTGGATGAGATCGCGATTAAATATAACACTATGATGTGTATTTTGCTGAGCTGAGAGTATGAAGCTGAATGTAAAGTACTACAGAAAGTCATATACACTCGAGTGTCATAGGAATACTACATGCTATGGGCCGATGCGTGAAGATAGAACGGCGTGTATCGACCATCCCTATGAACCGCCCGTGATCGGTCACTTGTTGCGACTGATACTCTCCCAGTGCTTATTATCAAGGCCTATAACTAACTTAACAGATCATTCTAGGGTTGTGTACATGATGATCCAATCAGTGTTCTCGCTTGCGGATGACTTTACGGTTTCCCAGAGCGGTTTTATCGGATGCACTCAACTTTCGCAAGACACTTCGGAAGATCTCCATACTGGATCAAACAACAATGAGAACCATTGAGGAATAACTAAAACGAGAATGAATAAGTTGTGATTGTCCTAAAGCAGGTATGTGACTTACAATAAGATCCATACTTATATACATACATACATACATACGGACATACATACATACATACATACATACATACACACATACGTACATACATTATAAAATACATACATATATACATACACATACATACATACATACATACATACATATATATATATATATATATATAGTAGTAAGATATATGTAAGTATATATATAGTGTAAAATATATATATAGTGCGATATGTGTATAATATAATGAAGCATAATACATATATATAGATATATATATATATATAATGTATAAATACATATACATATATATATGTATATATATAAGTATAGATATATATATATATCTATATCTATATATTATCTATATCTATATCGATTATCATATCTATATATATATATATATATATATACACACATATTATTTATCTATATATATATATATATATATATACACACACACACACAC